CTTGGTTCACAACGGAATGTGGGCGGGATCGAGAAACTGAGCGAGAAATGAAATGAAATGAAAAGCAAACACCTTCATTTTACACTCCATCCATAGCTCATGCTTCAAAATCTTCACCTAGGCCAGCGTTTGAGTGTCCAATAGGCTGCTTTATAACTAGTGGTCTCTGTACGAAACAAAATACTCATGTGCTCAGAGGAGTTTGATCTTGCTAACGTGAATGGACGAAACAGCGCTTCTAACCACTGCGCAAAGCAGGGAAAACTGAGAACTTTTTTCTTCAAAAAATACTTAACGAAAAAAATAAGGAGAAAGGTGGAATTCTTCACATAAAGCGGACGTGGAGGGCGTTAGAGTAGCAGAACAGTTCTTTTGAACAGCAAATGGAGAGAAATACAACAATGGGACAGGTAGGGAGAACGAGAGGGCGTGAAAAAATCGAAACGAAATCAATGCACCAAGAATTTCTGCTGTACGACAGCTGATCGATTCACTGACCTAAACAGCTGATCGACCGCAAGATTAGGCAGGACTGGTGGGAGAATCTGAATACATACATTATCTACTATAGCATGAGAGAAGAGCGTTTAATTTGAAGTATGAGAGCTACTCGTTGTTTTATAGAGCTAAGTACCGACCAGCTTCAGTGAATGCTTGAATGACTGGTAACATAATAAATGACCACCAATGAATGGAACATCGTGAAAAATGGGGTGGGTGTGGAGCTAAGTGGACTGAAGCACGAGATGTGTCTTAAGGACGGCAAGGCAGGAATCTCCATGACAGCTGATGTTCACAGAAACATTCCGAAAACTGATCAATCATCGTCACCTCCGCAAACGAATGGATGATGTATCACATTTCTGTTCATCGCACAACGAGCCCTACAGCTAGATAGAATGTTGCAAAAATCTAGTCACTATTCCTGTAAGTTGGAGTCGGAGATGGAGCTGAAGCCAGGGTTCACAACATATCGTGGGGATGGGCAGACCTGCACTTTCCGTACAGTCACCAGCAGAAGGCCAGCTCAGTGGTGGGAAAGAGAATCATGTTCTCTACAGTAATCATAAATAAGGTGGCGCATTTATTCGCAAGCTGGCGAACGCGCGTATATCCTATTTGACTGTCAAACATTTCCTGGCCAATTAGGATCAGTCACGTAAATAAGATGAAAGGCATGGGCAGGACTGCTGGAGGCGGACCGTTTGCCAGTGTCATTGGTGGAAGGGCTACGACATTGCGTTGCGCCACATCTCACCCAGCCCTTCCACAAGTGACGTTAGCAACCGCTCGTTCTTTGCAATCGGGCCTACTGCCTTAAAAATATTAAAACTAAAGCAGTTAAAGCAGAAAAAAAGCGTCCGCGGCTCCCGTGGCAGCGGGCGCTATGCAGGGGTGCGCCTCATACCCCAGAGGACAGGGTGAATTTTCTTTACTAAATAAACGAGGTCAGATGCAACTACAATCACCGTAGAACCTGATGAAATATTTAATGTGACTGCAACCTTGTAAATTCTACAGCTCCCGCTCAGCCCAGCCAAGACCCTAGCATGGTTTACAACTTAGGTCAATCAGGTCATCCACAGGTTATCCGCGTTTGAGTCCTATTTGCAGCTTTACCTACAACCAGGTCAGTGGTGAAAAACAGCGGCGAATCGTACAAAACTTAACTCCCCATGGCCCTTCCCGAAAAATTTGTGTTCCCATATTTAAGACACTCCGATTCAGACACATTCTACATTACAAATTGGGCTAACCCTATCCACAAATTCAATGTCCAGAATAAAGAGGGAGTATAGTAAAATGAAGTAATATTCAACGATACTGGAGAATATTTGACAGTAGTAGATGACCGTCAATATAGGATGTTTACAGACCAGGCTAACTGAACAGTCCGCTGTGATAAATGAGACCATCTGCGCCTAATTGGGTGGGCGAAGCAGCAAGTGGTCGGAGCAGCTTAGAAGCCCGATTAGTCCTCTGTATAGGCTGAATATCTTATAAATACGCCAGCATACTGATATCCAGACCGTTCTTGTTATCATTACTGCCCTCCAGAACTCAAATTTATCACTAGAATGCTGAGTTATCGTTAAAGTGCCCGGCCTCAGCCAAACTTCGGAATTAGGTCTTACGGTCACCGACTAATGTCCTAATTACGAGTTATTTGTCAAGATATCAAATGATCATCGCACCTGTTCGTTTTCCCTTCGTTTTGAGGCAGCTATTGGGCCCTAGGTAATTACTAAATGTGTAAGTCAAAAACCAGCATTCCGCAAAGGGAAGTCTCCTGAAGGCTATGGATCACTGGCTAAATATGTACGCAGTTAATGAATCTTTTACAGGCTCCACATTCCCACTGAAAATGAGCCTTGGTATCAAACCTAACAATCGCGGTGCGCGGCACACCCAAAATGACCGGATAACCTTCGGAGCTTGCCATGCACCTCACATTTCACGGCTTTACGACAGCAGTCACTTGGAACCAGCATACTTCACCACTAGCGTCATAACCCTTTTCAGTTTTAAAGGGATGTGTGAGAGCCAATGCGAAGAACGCAGTAACTCAAATGTCTCCCAGCTCTTTCGATGAAAATTAAAAGTGCCTCAAATTACTTCTGAAGCTTGAACGATAAGCGGGGCAATAAGCTAGCCAGTAGGCATGAGGTCAGACTCATTTTCCTCATTGGGACGAAGTGATTTGTCCGTAATTCAGCAATTTTGTAGTAAGAAATATACAGGTTCAAGCCGGCAAATGAATTAATCATGCGAAAGGATATAGAAAGGCAGGAAAGAAGAATACGCTCAAGCTCGAGGGAAGAAGTCCGAAATGTGTTTTGCGCCACAAATTAGTTCCAGATCTTCCCTACAGGAAAATATGAAGTAGTTCTAAAGAAGTTCAACAGATGTTTCAAAGTGGCGAGAAAAAGTCGGATATTTTGAAGAGTGACGTAGTGAACTTTGTCTGGAAACGTCGGTCAAGCATGCCATAACACAATGAAATATGCACTCTTAAACTTGTTGGTATATATAAACATTTATCATAACGTGCAAAGGCAATCAATCATGCTGTGCATGAATTTATTGGGTGAGACCCGCGATAAAACGTTATCACTAACAGGCCGAGTAAACAAAAAAAGGTGACAGGGAGAGAAAGACGATCGTGCGCTGCAACTGCCTGTCATCGACAGATTGTTCAAAAATGCTGAAAAATGCGCCATGCATTCTGCATACGCTCGGGATACTACAGATATCTAGCAATTCAAACGATCTACACATCAGATTCCTACAATGGATTAGTTCAATTTTGAAGGAAGTGCCGCCGCTTTATGCGGGAGTACAGTTAGAGGGCTCTCTGTGCAAAATTGAAGCTGCTTGGAGGGGTTGAGCATTCCCGTCCAAAGGCAGTGGGCACGATTGTCGGGATAGGGCGGTTATCGCCAGTGTCATTGGTGAAAGGGTTGAGTGGGGCATGGTTGAACGCACCTCTAACAGTCCTTCCACCAATGACGCTGGCAACAACCGCCCGCCTCCACCAGTCGTGCCCACTGCCCTTGAGCATATATGAAAAGAGCTTCAGTATGGGTGAAGTAGTTGAGGGACAGGGTCGTGTTGTCGTCGTGGCAAAGTTCTGCAAGATACGATTCACTCAGAATCCTTCCCCTGGCTTCCCCCCTTAACGATCCCCCATACTACCTACCATCTCCGTAACTTCTCCCCAATTCTCTCCCTCCGGCGGTCAAATACGATCTCCTCGCTGATGACGCCAAACATACGACGTGCCCTACTGAAGGATCACATCAGATGTTCATTGTCAGGGCTGAAATGCAGAGCTGCATCTGAAGCAGAGAACAAAATTCAACATGGAATTTATGGCAGCACAGTATAAGGAGGTCGAATCACCTTCTAAACATGTATTTCAAAAGTAGTAGATTTTGATGGAATGGGATTGCGTTGCCTGAGAGCTGAAGCCGATACGAACTCTTCAACAGGAAAAAGTCTATGAACTGGCCCGAGATCATTGATATACTATCACAAGAACAGATGAGATCAGCCTTTATTATCATGTTCCAGAATCCTGTTATCATCGCTCATGGCCGGAAGACACATTACTACGTTGTAACCTCCCTTTGACAAATTACCGCGTACGCGATATGTAACGACAAGAAGGTCGAATCGTAAGGCCGGAGGAAGATTGATACCACCTAGTAAACTCGTTTTCACTTACCATTGGACGATAGAATGATGTTTCAATGCAGCAAAGAAAGCTCGCTCTCACGTCGTTGCCCTTTCCGAGGTGAGCTTCACATAACTGGACGAAATCAGAGCCTAACGGCCACAGGACAAACGACCAGAGAGAATCAAGGCCTAAAAATCCCAGGACTTTCAGCTCTACGCGAACAAGCGTTTCTTCTTTAGTGTTTCCCACTTCATGGCAAGAAAGCTCCCGAGTAAACCAGAAAAAAGGCGTTCAATCCCAAAATATCTCATCCATTGTGCCCTTTGTTGCTTTCACACCCTTCACTAATTTCCGCCAGTGAAGGTGACTGAGGCTCGATTGGGGAAGAGGCAGCCAAAGGTTCATTAGACTGGATGAATGAGGAGGGAACTGTAGACCGACTGATGGGTTTGGAAATCCCCTTCCAAGTTCTTGTAGCGCTCGTTGCTGCCTGACAAGGACAAGCCGTGCAAGGCATGAAAATGGACAAGGAGTCGAACTGGGCATGTCACCACCTTGAGATCACGAAAGAAAACTTCTAGAATGGATGAGCTGGTGCACGCGATCAAAGTGAATTTTCGTCGCCTTAAAAGTTCTTTTACACATCTTGATAATTCGACATTTCAATACAGAGTCAGGCAGGCGATGGGGTTGAAAGCAGCGATCTAAAGGCCCTGTTATCCTTATTCGAAGTACCAAATTCGTTTTCGGTTTTCATTAGTCTAAAAATAAAGTTAAGGCCTGTAGAACCGACCATGACCGACTTTCTCTCTATCTTGACGCCGATGCATTTCAAAGGAATGGTTTGCTCGAGTCGTCCAAGATTTTCATCTTTTATTCGGCCAACCTGATGAGAGGGACTAAATTAATTCCCGATCATGACTTTGGCCATTCAAAAAGTAATAACAAGTCCGGAATAAAAAACAGCGAAGCATGAAAATAATTGATTTCGAATAAAAATAATTATCGTTCTATAAACGTAGTGGAGGCGTCAAAAATTGGCAGTGGCAAATGGCACCGTTTACCACGTGCGCATTTAGGGGTCAGGTCGGCTCCCGCTCGGGCCAACCAACCACCCCACCAACCAACGCATCGGAGGTGGTCAATTGATAACAGTCTGGTCTGGGAGGATATTGACACAAACCTTTTGCTTAGATGGCATATCTAAATTGTGTAGAAGCCGTAACCAATTTGGATCATAGGCTTTTGAATGAAAATGTGCGCGCTGAATCTCAAAAAGTTTTCATTGTTGGGAGCCTCTCGTTTCTATTCCTACTGGAATTTTTCTAGGAATAGTTCTGCAGGAGACCGTTTGGAACCTTTTGCAGATGAAGCACAGTTCAAATAGCCCTCACTACCGGCTTACGTGTGGTCTCGATAATCCGATTAGGTTACGGTAGATGGCCTATCTTGCTGTTACGCGGTGACGGGTTTGATGCCGGACTTAGCAAGGTGGCAGAGAGTTTCTTTATTGAAAGCTCGTAGAAAGCTTCGATCAATCAGGTTAAGGGGAAGGAGATCCCGTTGAAAAAAGATCACCTAAATCTTTTCAAAGGCTCTCTAGAAGTCAATAAAGGTTATTCAAAGGCAGTGGGCACGCTATGTGGGGCGGGCGGTTACTGCCAACGTCATTGGCGGAAGAGCTGAGTGTTGAGTGGTCAAACGCACTTCGCAGCCCTTCCGCCAATGTCGTTGACGCTCACTGACTCTGAAAACCACGAGAGAAGTTCAGAAAAAAGAGTGTTGTAATTAATATTATGCCGAGGTCCTATAAAATCCACATGACTTCA